TTACTTTGAAAACTCACAAAGGCAAAATATTTCTCTTGTTATATGTGGATGACATTATTGTCACAGAAAGTAATCCATCTTATTTTTCAGAGTTGATTCTACAACTTGGGAAGGAGTTCGCCATAAAAATCTTAACAAATTACACTTCTTTCTTGGAGTTGAGGTTAAGTATTTTGATGTGGGCATCCATTTAAGCCAGAGTAAATATGCTGCTAAGCTGAAATGACTATTGCAAAGGCTAAAGTCACTCATTTGGCTCAAAAGCAAGGTCTACATGAAGCTGTGGGAAGCCTGGTTGAAACATCATTTTACAGAATGATAGTAGGGAGTCTTCACTACTTGACTCTCACAAGACCAGATATTCTCATGCTGTGAATTTTGCAAGTCAATTCATGCAAAATCCGAATAGTGCACATCTTCGAAGAGTGAAAAGAATTCTCAGGTACATCAAAGGCACTTTGGACTTTGGACTTAGACTTATTTTCACAACCACCATATAGGTTGTATGGGTACTCTGATGCTGATTGGGGAGATTGTACCACTACTAGGAGATCAACTACAGGCTATAACATCTACCTAGGTGCAAACTGTATTTCTTGGACCTCCAAGAAGCAGTCCACAGTTGCTCGTTCAAGTGCTGAAGTAGAGTATAGAGTACTTGCCTCCACTACATCAGAGATGACATGGATCATGTATCTACTTCATGATCTTGGGGTGTTTATTCGCCTACATTGTATTGTGCTAACATGAGTGTTTTGTACGTGACAGTTAATCCATTTATGCATGCTAGAACTAAACAAGTTGAAATGGACTATCATTTTGTTCGTGAGAAGGTGACTAGAGGACAACTTGTTACTCAATTTGTGAGGTCTAAGGATCACCTAGCAGATATTCATATAAAAGCATAAACCAAACAAGTTTTTGCTGAGTTTCGTCGCAAGCTAGGAGTTACAGTTCTTTGACTCACTAGCTTGAGAGGAAGTGTTGGAGAAAGTTGATGGAACAAGTCAAAGGAACAGGTGCGATGAAGGTTGTTTGACGAGTTAGAGTTTGAGTTACACTAGGACTAGACTACTCAATCCTAATTTATGTACAAGTCCATACTTTGTACGACTTAAATTGATGTAGTCGACTAGAATAAGGTGTACATAATATAATTCTATTGTATTAGGATTCCTAGTGTAGCTAGTATAAGACTCTTCTCCTATATGAGAAGTATGTAACTCAATCATCAATACAATTCTTGATTCTTCACATATCTGTGAGAATTCTAGAGAGTTAACCATGAGGATCATAACATATGGTGTAAATTCCTGTTATGATATAAACTATTTTAATGTTTACCCTAGTTTATCAATTTTCACGCAAAACTCTACTTTTTAGAAAATACTCATATATATACTATTAAAAATATGATATAAAGCGTGATAACGATTGCGAATTATAAAATTCAAATTCATATAAATATAATTAAGATATATGATCAAATTGATACATGTGCATCAAATTACAATGTCTTGTTCATGATCAAGAGTGTAGCATTTTGTTTTATTAATTATGATGTCATATGTCATTTCCTTATGAAAATTAGTCGGTTTAATTTTCATATTTGGTTCATTCTTATCGTTTGCTTCTCTCTTTTCTTTTTCTTTCTTTTTTAAAAAATAAATTATTTTGATTGAAATTTCAACATATTATGATAGAGAATAAGACAAATATTAAAATTACTACATATACATGTCATGCTTTTAAAAACTACAGAAATTTTCCTCTAGAACACATCTCTCCTATTAAGTAATGTATTATTAGCGAATGTATACGAGAGTCGAGAGCTATGACAAATTCGAAGTTTTTGTAATTAAGAAACTTCTCGAATATAATATAATTACCCTCAAATATACGAAATTTTATACTTTATACTCTAAAAAAGTTATTTTTTATCAAATTAAATAATATTAAGAGTATTTTGAATCAAACTAATAAAGACAAGGACATTTTTTAGGCAAATTACAAATTATCAATGATAGAGAATTTTTTGTCCAAATGATTACCAAGGAGGAATTTTATTCAATTTTGCATATTTAAAAAGCATGTTACGTTTAGTAAAATAGTAAAGGAAAAAGGGTTAAAATATTCCTTAATTTTATTTTATTGGTTAATTATGTCTTTACTGTTAGTAATTTCACTATATATATCCCTAATTTAACGGAAAGCCCCAAATTAACTCGATTTTGATAGATATTATCTGATTTTCTCTTTTTAATTCATACCCCACCCACTAAACCAAATGAGTCAATACCAAATTAAAACTCAAACCCATCTCTATAATATTATTTCATCTCCATCATCTTCTAATCGAAAAATTAAATTACCTTAACACTTCAATTTTCAAGAACTAATAAATGTGAATGAGAGAGGTCAGACAAGAAATCATTGACATTTCGTAGCTTCAATGCACCAATAATCTCAAGAGTCAAGAAGAACAAAAAACCCAACAAAAGCCTCAACCAAACAAGTCAAATCCTCCAAACAACTTTGATCTGTAATGGTATTGTTAGACCAAAAAATACTTTTTAGCCTTGGACCAACAATCTTAATCTCAGTACAACCAGTATACGAATCAAAACAACTCTATACATTCAATTTCTCCAATTTCGGACACATTGTATCTAATTCTCCAATTGAAAATAATTCTCTAAGATTTAAATTCGCGAGTACACAACAACTTACATGTAAGTAAGTTAGCCCCGTACAACCATCAAGACTCAAATTTTTAAGCAATGGGAAAGATGTCTCCTTGAATAAATCATGTAATGAAAGTTGTTTGTACATAATAAGACACTACAGTGACGAAAAGAAAAAAAAATTTACCCCATTTTTCGTAAATGGTAAAGGAGGTAACCTAAATCCTGGATATTTTGACTTTAACTTAAAAAATCTTAAAGATTCATTATTTATAGCCCCAAATCTAACGTGAATAGAGTTGAAGAAGATGAAAAAATATTAGAGAGATGGGATTGAGTTTTAATTTGGTAATGATTCATTTGGTTTAGTGGGTCAGGTTTGAATTGAAAAGAGAAAATCGGATAATTTCAATTGAAACGGATTAATTAGAATTGATTTGGAGCTTTCCGTCAAATAAAGAATATATATGGTAAATTAGTAACGATAAGAATAAAATTAACTTTACTTTAATGATAAAAACATAATTAACCAATAAAACAAAATTAAAGATATTTTTGACCCTTTTTTCAATAATAAAATATTCTAATATAAGATTAAGAAGCATCACACTTTCCCTTTCCATATACCAAACCGAATAAGAACATAATTTTGGGTAAAAGTAAGTAAAGGAGTTGGTTAATTGTCAATCCAAGCATTTCCTGCTCACTACATTACAAGAACTGGTTAACCCACATGCATTACTTTGCCAAGTGGCATATAAAATGAAGAATGGTCAATTGAATATCATTCGTGAATAAAATTTAAATAAAAAATAATTAATTAAATGTTATTCGTTAAAAAATATATATCAAAAGAGTGGTCAGTTAAATATTTTTTATCAAAAAAATGTACATGTAAAAAGTGGACAGTTGAATATCATTTATTGGAAAAAGTGACCAGTTCAATATCATTTATCTATAAGTTATAAATTACTTTTTATAAATATATATTAATTCTTAAATATACTTACCGAAAATTTTAATTTAACGATACATACACTATTATCTTGTTTGATCACAAGCACATAAAATTGATGATTATGTTTGTGATAAAAGAATTTTAGAATTTGGTAGGTTTTAAGTTCTACTCCATTTATTTTATTTTATTTTTATTTCATGTAACATAATTTAATAGCATACGTGAAACTTGAAGAGAACTAAGAACTTTTAGAATTGTCCACTTAAAAATGCCATTATATTATATTTCTATGACTTTAAAAATATGTTATATATAATAAATTTAAATAATTAAAATTAAACAATTTCAAAGTATGATTTATTTTTCAAAAAGAAGAAGAAAAAGAGTGTCAAATTAAATGGCATAAAAGTACAATTTTTTTTTATCATCTGACATCTTTTTCTTTCTCGGTGAGTATGTACAAATTTCTTAATTGATTTAGCTAGTTGCTTGACTTTTAAAACCCTGAATAAGATTTTCTCAAATCTTATCCATTAGTTAATGAAATTATGAAATTAATTTTCACCAAACAATGTGATACAATATATTGAAATTGTTACTTCTAATTAGAGTTTTGAGTTTGAGTTTTGAATAAGAAAAATTTTTGGTAAGGAACACTTTTCATTACAAATGGGACCAGACCCTACATGATCGAATTTGGAGTAATCGGGCTTTAATTCATATATCAAACCTCAGTTAAAAAAAAGCATTGTAACATTATGATTTTCAAGATTTATCCAAGGCTTAGCTTAAGACCCCACTACTCATCTTATTTGATTTGATATTGCTACCGCACATGACTTCGAATCATGATGATATTATTAAGGAACGTCTTTATGAGAAATGGAGAAAATAACTAATTATTTAGTGAAAAAAAACAAGAAAATAAAACTTAATGGTCAAGCAAACAAAAATGCAAAAACTAATGAAATTAAGGAAGCAAATAAAAGAAAAGCCAACAAACCGTTTGACCAAGGGTCCCATTATCACCACATCTAAGAAACAATAGGACCTGGAATCTTTGATCAAAATAATAAGTAGCAAAACAAAAATCCAAAGAAAAATATGCCTACTCAACATGTCTATTTCCTTCCCATAAATATTCAGATATTTCTTTTCAAAATTTTTAAATCTCAATAAGTACAATTAAACTATTTCTATGATTTCCTAATTTTATTTATAGAAAGTCAAGTATAATTTATCTGAACATAAAAAAAACTTTTCCATCTTATTGAATGTTGTTTTCTACTTTGTCTAATCCTTTTTAGATTTTCTTCTATTAAAAGATTATTTATATTAAAAGAGTACTCAGTGGCAAAATCAAAAGTTTGGTAAAAATGTTTATGTATGAAAAATAATTTTTGATCTATATATTTTCTCTATACATACTATAATTATTCGATGAAGTGTGTCCAATTGACCTATCATTCACTACATGTCATGACATATAAATACCAACAAGGTCAAAGAGATGGTTTGTGTAGAAAAGGAAATGAGGAAAACTTGGCTCTGGTTCAACTTCAATAGTTCATTTCTTCTTCCTACCAAGAGCTTCAACTTCAAGAACTCATTTTTATTTTCATCTAAATGCAGTTCTCTTAATGTTAGAAACAAAGGTAAAGTACACTCACTGAAAATTTTGAATGATTTTTTTGGTGTTTTTGTCACGTCTTAAGGCCTAATTTGATGGTTTGTAATGACAGGGAGTAGAAGTGGATTGGTGAATCTTTACAAGGATATGGAGGCTTGTGCAGGATACAATGATATACAAGTTATGTGGGAGATGATTCACTCCAATGTCAATGAAACCAAATGCAAGAAAAAGCCTCTTTGTTGGAGATTTCTTAACAAAATTAGAGTTTAATACATATAGAATGTGCTTGTTTCTTTCTCAAAGGAATTCAGACCTCATTAAGTATAAGTCCGACACAAGTGATACGAGTTTGCTTAGACATCATCAAGTTTTTTTGATTATGTCCTCTGTTCCATCATTGTGCATTGGATGGACGATGAGGGCTATAGTTGGTGGAGTCACATATAAGTCATAAGTGGAATGGAACTTTTGAATTGTGGGTACATGATCCTTCCTTTAAATGTGAGATGACCTATTGCTCTTGCAATTTGGGATCCTCATTTTGATCATCAATATTTGACTTCTTCTTTAAGTTGTTCTTTTGATCAACCCCAAAGTTTTTAACTCTTTTACTGATTTTTCTAGTTCTGTTAACGACATCATGACTGGGGATAGATGGAAATGAGATTTCAACCCCCTTGACGGATGGCCCTTTACATATTTCTACAGGTATAGGAGTAGTCGAGAGGTATGTAAAATTAGGTCTTAGACCTATTTCTCCAAAAACTAGGTCAAACGAATAAGGATTGTACAAGCCTACTAACAATATGAGACTCGTTCATTCTTCAACTAGGAACACCTTTTGTAAAGATTACATCTACTTACTAGCAAATTTAGCTAGATGAGAGCAATGGTTTAATTCCTCATCAAACTACTTTTATTTCTTGAAAGCAAGCTTCCATATTATTCTTCTAGGATCAAGTCTACACATGATTTGAATTTTAATTAACATAAATATATAGTACATTATAGGACAACAACATAACAGAGCCTTCTTAAGATAAAGTAGCGTGAACTCGGAGACCTTCAAGCTGCACCATTATATATATTAATGTAAAAGCATCCGATCAAAGTGCCACACTCCTGTAAGTAAAGAATAAATATATTATTTTTAGTATATTAGGTAGGGATATTACTTAGGGATATTACTTAGTTAAGTCCAAAACAGTGTGAAATTTAGTTAACACTCACTCTGTTTCAATCTGAAGAAGCAGTGGCTACCATTGCTGAAGTCCAGCATCAGGAACAGCTTCATGCTGGTGGCCCAGCTCAAGAAGCTGCTGCTGAGCCCGTAGAGACTGGAACCAAGCCTGGAAGGGCGAACCAAGGTTATGATAAACTTTTCTGTATTATTCCAATTTTATCAGATATGTCTAAATGGGCACATTATTGACTCGAGAGGTTACTATGCTCGTAAAAGAATCCAAGAAAACTAACCATAAAACGTGTCTCCCTTATCAACATGATCAAATTCAGAGGGAGGCATCATAATAGAGTGTAGCTTCACTCTTCCTCCTCGGATGTTCTGTTATTCATATGAAGCAAACAAAATAAACTTCTGATCATTTATGCGACTATAAATCATTTAATTAACCGTAAAAGGGGAATTGTAAAGCTAAATTATTTTCAACTATGGAAATGCAACACTCCTTTTGAGATGTACTAAAACAGAAAATATATCACATAAATTGAGACACACAGAGTATAGTGTCCTTTCAAAATTTATGATTGTGCAAGGTGACCTGATAATGCATCAACTTCTCACCATGTTCCTTTTCTTCTTCACTTGACTCCTTGAAGAATCTGATCCAAAATTTCTCTATTAACACATGAACATTGAAAAATATGGAGATTGACGATTTTCTGGTCATTACTTTGCGAGGCCTTTTAGAGCTACGTTGTCCCTGTCAAAGAAGACGTACATGGCGTGGTATACATACGAAATGTTGTACTCCACACTCGATCAAATACATAATGAACTCAATAAGCAAAACAATTAACTTATATATATGTATGAAGAAAATATTTTTACGCCTTCGTGATATTTTAACTTATTATAGCAGATAACATATCTTATTTTCTACGTTACCAGTCTCACCTTCTATGAATAATTACACGTAACTATCTTTCAGGTAATCTTTTTCACTAGGTGTATAAAAATTAATCTTATATGCATATATATACCCATGATTTTCCTTTAACCCCCTTTTGGATCTATTTAATTTCCATTGTTTAGACAGAGTACATACATCCATATGAGTACTAAATCACTACAATAAAAATAATTTTCAAAAGCATTAAATATTGAGACTAATAAAAAGTGTTAAAGTCTTTACTGGCATAAGTTAAGTCTCATTAGAATTAATGTCGCTTAAGGCTTTACGGACATATACAAAGAGTGACAATTACCGCTAAAAATAAATATTTAGCGACAATTAAAAATTAATGAGGCTAATGGTCATTTTTGTTATAGCAAAAGAAACAGGGGTTAGGGGTTTCTGATTTACTATGATTCATATTATCTAAAAACTTAAAAAGCTATTAAAAATTAACATACTTTTATTTACTTAACTATGCATTCAACACGTTTATTCGTGAGCGATTTAATTCTTTTCATTCACATGAGAGAACACCTAAAAATTGATTTTGATTAAGGTATCATGATATGTTGTGTGCCATCTCATCTAAATCTTAAATTGTGAAAAGCTCATATTTTATTTATTTAACTTCAATTCTACACTTACTACTTCAATTATATATTTTACTTCTCTTTTTAGTACAATAAAAATATCATTTTCTCTATTCGTAACTCTTTACATATAATATCTCATGTAACATGCATTTAAGCGTACAAGATCATGTTTTCAATACTGTATACACAAAATTTGAAGATTTTTTTCTTATTTTCTATAAACTTTGTCTCTAGTCAAACTATGACGAATAAATTAAAACGTAAGGAGTAATAAATAAACATCAACCACCTTAACATGTATAGCTAAAGCACAAAAAGATCGAAGGGAAGAACTGACTTGATCTGCTCATTGATAGCAGCTTCACATTCATCCGCGAATGTAACGACCTGTTTAGTCGTTTTGAGCAGGTAGAATTACTTTTGTTAATAACTGACAGTGTCGACGGATCACACGACGGACCGTCATGGTCACGACGGACCGTCGAGGGTCTTCGTGCCAAAAGACTTAAACTCTGAAATTTGGGTACGTGGAAAACAACTCTCTGAACTTCGCGACGGACGAGCAGCACGGACCGTCGTAGGCACGACGGACCGTCACAGACTCTTTAATGAATTCGAATCTCTGAACTTTGTGACGGAAACAGCAGGACGGACCGTCGCTAGAGCGACGGGCCGTCACGAGCTGCGTAACCTTGACCGGGTCGGATTTCTGCTAAAGTTTTTAAGGGGTGTTTTGGACTATTTATGTCAAACTGTATGAAATTAGTGGGTAAGTTTAATAACTTATTTACTTGAGGGTTAAAGGAGATAACCTTGAAATAAATAATTGGTTACTTTTATCATCTTTGATACTTGATTATATGATAATTAGGGTAAAAGAAAAAGGAATCAGTAGAAGAAAAATAAAAAGACAGAGAGAAGAGGGGAGAACCAACGAGAGAGGGAGAAGTGAAGAGGAAAGCAAAGGCATTGAGAAGTAGCTTGTTTGATCACGAATTCTTCTTTCGTTAAAGAGTTTTAAGTCTTCCGCATTATATTCTGTTTATATTGTATTGAAATATTGGGGTTTAGATTGGTTGGTTCGCTCACATAGTAGGATAAGTGTGGGTGCCACTCGCGACTCATTTTGGTTCGTGACAAACTTGGTATCAGAGCATTAGGTTCGTTGGTCTCATCACACAAGAACGAGTCTAGTAGAGTCTTGAGGAACGGTAGGGGGACGCCTTTACTTTTCTTTGAGAGGCTATAGGACTTTAGGAAAATTACATTCTTTCTTACTTTCGTGCTATTACTCAGATCCAATTGGTATCTTGGTGATACAAATTGGTATCTGACCATCTTCACTCTATTTCGCAGATGGTTAGAACTAGAGCACGACTGCGCCAACACCAACACCGGCAAGACAGGGTGCGTCTGAGCCAGCCACTGGGGCTGTAGCTCGAAGAGGAGCAGTGGCAAGAGGCCATGGTAGAGGTCGCGGGAGGACGTCCTCTAGAGGAAGAGGACAAGCACTTGTCCCAGCTAGTACTAGGACGGTGACTCCTCCACCGACTGAGGAAGTAGTAAGAGAGGATGAGGAAGGGGAGAATGAGCAAGTGCAGAATGAGGAATTACCACCCCAACCTACCCCAGAGATGATTAATCAGGTTCTTGCTTATCTTAGAGGGTTATCTGATCAAGGCCAAGCACCTCTAGTGTTTTTTGCACCAGCACCTCAGGCTCCGGGAGTACAACATGCAGCTGCTGTGGCTCCCCGCATGGATGCCTCATTGGAAATAGGCACGTTTCCTCGGTTGACTACAGGGCCTATAATGACAAGTGATCAGCATGAACTTTTCACTAAGTTCTTGAAGTTGAAACCTCCAGTTTTCAAGGGTGCTGAATCTGAGGATGCCTATGATTTTCTAATTGATTGTCATGAGCTGCTACATAAGATGGGCATAGTAGAACGATTTGGCGTTGAGTTTGTGGCCTATCAGTTTCAGGGGAACGCTAAAATGTGGTGGCGGTCATATGTTGAGTGTCAACCAGCACAGGCACCACCTATGACTTGGGCATCATTCTCTAGCTTGTTTATGGAGAAGTATATACCCCGGAGTTTGAGGGATAAGAAGAGAGATGAGTTCCTGAGCCTAGAGCAAGGCAGGATGACGGTTACTGCTTATGAGACTAAGTTTCGTGCATTATCCAGGTATGCCACCCAGCTTTGCTTCAGTCCACAAGAGCGGATTCGCCATTTTGTAAAGGGATTGAGGTCAGATTTGCAGATTTCAGCCTTACAGGTAGCTGCTGCAGCAAAATCCTTTCAGGAGGTGGTAGATTTTGTGATAGAAGTGGAGGGAGTGAAGCCAGGCGACTTCACCATGACATCAACACCTAAGAAGTTTCGTAAGGGAGGCGAGTTTAGTGGTTCTTACTCCAGAGGGTAGAGTTCAGGAGGTTACCCAGCCCGACCCATTCAGTCTTCACTACAGGCTGTAGCTAGGGGTCCACCGCAGACCGTTCCGCATTCATCTGAGTTGTGAGGTTATCCCCAGACTTCTTCGTTCTCACAGAGGCCTATACTTGACTCCAGAAAGTGTTACGGATGTGGAGATACTGGACATATTAGGAGGTTTTGTCCAAAACAGAGTTACAGACCCCCAATAATTAGGGGTAGAGGTGGTCATGGGAGAGGTCGCCATTCTGGAGGATGCGTTGGTCAAGGTAATGGTGGTCACCAAATCAGCCGAGGTGGCGGACAAGTTGGAAGCACTGCAGCACAACATGATAGGGGCAACGGACAGACAGGTGATAGGGCCCATTGTTATGCTTTCCCTGGGAGGTCTGAAGCCGAGACATCTGATGCTGTTATCACAGGTAATCTTTTGGTTTGTGATTGCATGGCTTCTGTATTATTTGATCCTGGATTCACATTTTCATATGTCTCTTCCTCATTTGCTACTGGTCTTGATTTACATTGTGATTCGCTTGACATGCCTATTCGTGTTTCTACTCTGGTGGGTGAGTCGGTGATAGTTGAGAAGGTGTATAGGTCTTGTCTTGTGACTTTCGTGGGGAGCAATACTCAGGTAGACTTGATTATTCTAGAGATGGTTGATTTCGATGTAATTCTGGGTATGACTTGGCTTTCTCCAAATTTTGCAATCTTAGATTGTAATGCTAAAACTGTGACATTGGCCAAGCCTAGGACAGATCCATTAGTCTGGGAGGGTGACTATACTTCCACCCCAGTTCGTATTATCTCCTTTCTTCGTGCTAAGAGAATGGTTAGTAAGGGTGGTTTAGCTTTCTTGGCACACCTCAAGGATGAGACTTCCCAAGTACCTTCGATTGAGTCTGTCTCGATAGTCCGTGAGTTTCTGGATGTGTTTCCTGCAGACCTTCTTGGTATGCCACCGGATAGGGATATTGATTTTTGCATTGATCTGGAACCGGGTACTCGCCCCATTTCCATACCCCCTTATAGAATGGCTCCAGCTGAGTTAAGGGAGTTAAAGGCTCAACTTCAAGAGTTGTTAGGTAAAGGTTTTATTAGACCAAGTGCATCCCCTTGGGGTGCTCCTGTTTTGTTTGTGAAGAAGAAGGATGGAAGTTTTCGGATGTGCATAGACTATAGGCAACTGAATAAGGTAACTATTAAGAACAAATATCCTCTTCCTCGCATTGATGATTTGTTCGATCAGTTACAAGGTGCTTGTACCTTCTCAAAAATCGACTTGAGATCTGGTTATCATTAAGACTGGTCAACGGACCGGAACCGGGTCACCGGACCGAAATGAACCGGTACCGGACCGGACCGGAATCCGTTGACCGGAATTTTGACCGATACCGGGATGAACCGGACCGGAATTACCGGGATGGTTCATCGGTTCCGTCCCGTTCCACTATATACCGGGACGGAACCGGAATGAACCGGAACGGACCGGGATGGAACGGGACGGGATTAATGGGACGATATTTTTTAAATTACGAAAATATAATTTTTTTTATTTTTTAAGTATAAATTAATAGTTTTTAAATTTATACTATAATTTTTAACTTAAGTTTATTTTAAAGATATTTTATTAATTTTTTTTTATTATTGTTAAGTTTGCAAGTAATCTAATAAAGTTTTCAAAATTTAAATCTTTTGAAGTTTATACTTTATAAGTTATTACTTATATTTATTAATATTTATTTTATAAGTTATATTTATAACTTGTATCTTGTAAATATTAAATAAATAAAATTTGTAATTTTAAAAAAGTAAATTAAATTACAAAAATTAAAAAATATCAATTTAATTTATTTAAATTTGTAACAAATTACAATTTCAATTTACAACTATTAGTAGAGTACATAGCTTACGCAGCCACCTTCTAGGAAGGGTTCTGTTTCAACTATGTCTCGAATGTAATACTAATAGTTGTATAGTCCCGTAAATCCTCTTTCTAACTCAGCTAGGGATTGATTGTGATCAACTTTTGGTCTTGGTAAAGCTCGTTGACGATCTTGAATTTCGATGTCATCATCACTACCACATCCAATAGTTGAATCTATGAAAAGTTCAAATTGACTATCTAACTTTGGAAGTCCTTGATTTCTACGCTCAGCATTTATCCAGTCTCTAAATAACACTGATATCTCCAGGCTGTCTTCTGCTAACGAATATCTGTGGTCTCCAATTTGAAATCTTGCCGCGCTGAAAGCTGCCTCCGAAGCTACTGATGATCCTTGAATTGCAAGCACATCCTTCACCATCCTACTAAGTTTTGGATATTGAGCTCCACGATTTCTCCACCAGTTCAATAGTTCCGGTATACCATTATCGTTTGTAATATCATCTGTACCCTGTTCAAGACATTTAACAAATTCACATTTATTAGAAGAGTCAAGACCAAGTTTATGTTTCACTCGTCCATGAGCACCTACTTGATTTGTAGACGTTTGAGGATTTTCAACATTATCTAAGAATGAATATTTATCATACATTTCTTTTGCAAAGTATTTTATACTATTTTGACATGTTACCAAATCAGGTTCTTCTTCAGGTTGAATATCTAAATTCTGATAAATGCATTCAACTAAAACTTTTGTACCATATTCTTTATATTCGGGGTTGAAAAGAAGTGCAGTTAAATAAATTTGAGGAATAGGAAAAAAATATTTTTTTAAATTTTGTAATCATAACTTCAATAGCAGAGGTGAATAAAGTATTTGTTTTATATTCAGAAAAATAGATGAAATCTCACATATGTGTATTAAAATTTCAGAAATAGTAGGATAATATATTCCAAAAAAATTTTTAGTAGCATCATAAAATGATTTCAAAAATATTCTAAGTTCATTTACTTCATCCCAATCACTATCATTAATTTTAAATTCAGGATAAGCATT